ATGTTTCCCTGACCAGGGATCCAACCCGTTAACCACTGGACCACCAGGAAATTCCCTCTTTCCCTATTTTCTTTCTTTATTTTCCCCCCTCTTTACTTATCTGTTGCCATCATTTTATCATCACTTATTTTATCACTATGTTTCTATATACCTTCAATGTTTAGGAATGCTGTCATGTATTCTGAAAACCAATAAAACATACTACATATTTTCCTTTTAAAATTTTTACTCTTCCTGAAGTAAGTATGTGATTTGATTTTATTCATAACAGTCCCAGCTTATCTCAGAAACTTAAAGGCATGCTGGATCCATTTAGAAGGATATAAGAGAAAATAATAAAGATTGGGAAAATAGCATGGCCATAATCTGTGAATGGTAGGAGAAAATTTTCAGCTTTCTTTAGATTTAAAAATAGTGTCTGAGTGCAGGTAACCACATAATGAGATCCTGAGTCTTTATTTAGCAAGAAAGCAATTCAGATAGGGTGAATTCTACAACTGTATCTTTTATGATTCTAATTGGAAATACTCATGTGCTCATTGAGGGGGATACTTCTATAAAGTAACCCTGCAACACGTGAGTGATTTTTCTTTGATCAAAATAGATGAGACAAATATTGGTTCAGAAATTATGTATAAAGATAAAAATGTTTCTCAATGTTGAATCAGGATCCTATGTTTTATTGCTATAATTCTCTAATTAACTGGCAATGATATCTGTGCCATTTCTTTGCAAATAAAATATAATGCCAAGCATAATCATATTTCCAAGTCTCTATTCCTAAAATCCCACTATCATATGATAAGAAATGGGAGAAGAAAAGATATTGGATAAGACCAGTTTTAAATGAAGAGTGTTAATATAAGGACAGGATTTATAAGGGGGAGTCTCAATAATTAACTTGATTTTCCATAGAAGTTCACAGGCACTTGAAAATTTCCAGAAACATTTTTATATGATTTTACTGTGTAAGTAGTCCTACTAACATTTCAGCTACTGCTTATATTTCCCTTAATATTATATAGTTTTTTCTTGATCCAATTATCATGCAAGCAGTATGGAGTTAGAAGTGGCATTGAAAATCCATTGATTTTGATAAGTAAAATAAATATATTTATTGATTGATTAGTTGCATCATTTTGGGAATGAGCAGAAAAGCCTTAAAATATTTGCTCTAAGGGTAAAACAGGGCGTATTTAAACTCTGCTTTAGTTTTGGGGTATGAAGTGAAAAAGTAAAGATGCATCTGGGTTCCTTGAGTTCCTTGAGATGAAATAGCAATGAAATATTTGACGTCTTAAAAGAAAAAAAATAATAAATTCAAGGGTGCTAACGTAATTTAACATATAGGAAATCCAAAGGGAAGAGATTCACAGTTGTTGGTTTCAACTGAATTAATGTTAATTCAGTTCAGTTCAGTTGCTCAGTCATGTCCGACTCTTTGCGACCCCATGAACCACAGCACGCCAGGCCTCCCTGTCCATCACCAACTCCCAGAGTCTACCCAAACCCACCCATGTCCATTGAGTCGGTGATGCCATCCAACCATCTCGCCCTCTGTCGTCCCCTTCTCCTCCTGCTCTCAATCTTTTCCAGCATCAGGGTCTTTCAAATGAGTCAGCTCTTCGCATGAGGTGGCCAAAGTATTGGAATTTCAGCTTCAACATCAGTCCTTCCAATGAACAACTAGGACTGAACTCCTTTAGGATGGACTGGTTGGATCTCCTTGCAGTCCAAGGGACTCTCAAGAGTCTTCTCCAACACCGCAGCTCAAAAGCATCAATTTTTCAGTGCTCAGCTTTCTTTATAGTCCAACTCTCACATCCGTACACGACCACTGGAAAAACTATAGCCTTGACTAGCTGGACCTTTGTTGGCAAAGTAATGTCTCTGCTTTTTAATATGCTGTCTAGGTTGGTCATAACTTTCCTTCCAAGGAGTAAGCATCTTTTAATTTCATGGCTGCAATCACCATCTGCAGTGATTTTGGAGCCCAGAAAAATAAAGTCAGCCATTGTTTCCACTGTTTCCCCATCTATTTGCCATGAAGTGATGGGACCAGATGCCATGATCTTAGTTTTCTGAATGTTGAGCTTTAAGCCAACTTTTTCACTCTCCTCTTTCACTTTCATCAAGAGGCAATTAAAATGTAGTAAATGCTTATTATGTTTAACATACACTCTTGCCTCTATCACATGCTTACTCTTTAAGAGTATACAATCCATCTGGTCAGGAAAATAGGACAGGTACAGAAACAAAAGCAAATTATATATATACATATATATATGTATAATTTTTATAAAATATGGAGTGTACCAAAAGAGAATTACAAATAAAGTGCTCTAGAGAGTTAGAAAAGGAGTGCTTAGTCACTCAGTTGAGTCCAGCTCTTTGTGACCCCATGGACTATAGCCCACCAGGCTCCTCTGTCCATGGGACTTTTCAGGCAAGAAACACTGTAGTGGGTTGCCATTTCCTTCTCCAGGAGATCTTCCCATGCCAAGGACAGAAAAATGGAGAGTGGGGAATAATTTAGAACACTTTAGTACTTGAAATGGCCATTACAGGATGGAAAGCAACAACGGTGTCTCATATCAGCATAAACGCCAGTGAGAGAATAAAAAGTTTGGATAAAATGGAATGGTTTGGGCCATGATTATAGGAGGCATTGAATCTAAGTCTGCATTTTAATGAAATGGGTTACAATGTGGAGATTCCCTGCTGAGTTTTAAGCTGAGATGTGTTACATGATCAGATTTGAACTCAGGAAAGACTGCTCTACAAACATGTTAAGATGCTTTGAAGATGAGAGAGCCATTTTAAGTGAGACCACTTTGAAAACTAGAGGCCATGGAATATTGAATTACTTTCTCTGTGTCTATTTTAATTATTCTGTGTAGATATAAATTTAATGGATAGATGCAAGAGGCAATGTTAAAAAATAGTTGGTCCAGTCTGACAACTTGGATGACACATTGGCAATTGCAATTCAAAGATGACAATTAAGATCCCAAAAGAATTGTGATTGTATAACCAGAGCAAAGAAATTAGAAGTGTGAGATGGATGGGTAAGAAGCACTGTTTTAGAGTTAACAATTCTGAGCTTTGGGCTGTGAAGCAAGAACTTATCCCTATGATTTCTCACTGTCATTCACTGCTTCCCACCCTCCACCACACACACAGACACACACACACACACACTGTCTAATTCCACAGTTCAATGACACCAATGTGAAAAAAAACCTGACTAACTACATCCAATAATCTTACCATGTTAAGAGCACAAGAAGATTATAATGTAAGGCAAATTAAAAGAATCAGAAAAATAAGTAATCAGAGGTTCCAGGGCTATTTTCCTAGCAGTCACATCATTTTTATTGTCTGTCAGTATTTATTAATTATCTGTTACAAATGCCATTCTACACTGTTTATAGGTGCACAAAAATAAGAAAAGTCCAATATTTTAGGGAATTCAAGTTTGGGAAAGAAATCATAGTTATTGAATTATTAGCATATGAAAATAACTGAGTTTACATTAAATCACTTAGTCCTATGAGATGCATATAACTATGGTCATTTTAAAGAAGAGAAGATTGAAGTACAAAAGGATTAAATGACATTTCTAAAGTCACTCACCTGGTAAAAGGAATCACTGGGATTTGAAGGAAGAAGGAAAATGTCTTTTATAAAGTAACTTAAAATGCAAGACAAATTTGCTATAACTAGTGAATCAAACTTAAAGAGATTTTAGAGAATAAAAAGTTAATCACTAGAGTTTCACTCAGAAATTTATAATAAAGGAAGCATGTGATTTCGATGGGGGAAGAGTGAGATAGAGGCACCACAAATGGTAGAAATATTATAACTAATGAGTAAGAAAATAAAGAAGGGAGAGGGGGAAATGTTTAATGGCCCATAATTATCTTGAGGAGTTAGAAATTTGTGTATAAAAATAAGAGAAATTTACTTAAAGGAGCCAAGTATTTGAAACTCTTTTTGGTGTTTTCACTCAGAGGTTAGAAATTCATCAAATTTATTTAGATATCTGTTGAGTAGCATTTCGGAGCAAACAAGTTTCCAGTGCTTGATTGTTTTTTGTGTATGTTATCTTGTTTGAATTTTTTGTTTCTTCCTTTTACTTTCAAATTTTCTTAATAGGATCAGCACTAATGCTTAGAGGAGGTAAAAGGAGTTCTGATACTCCATCTTTTCACTGTGCAAAATCTATGATGTGCTCCAGTTCCCATGATGTTTCTGACTAGGGTCGGTTTGAGAAAGATGAAGATACCAAAATGCATTGGCTCCCCCTGGACTGCTGATCCACCTGCCTTCTTCATGCTGTCCTTTGCTCAACCTGTATTTGGGAAACTCTGCCTTCTTGCAATCTGTTTTCATCTATACTTTGTTGTTTCTGTTAAATATTCATGACAAGTAGGGTTGATGGTAGTTCTATTGAAACTTTTTAGAAGAGAAGACAACAAAATCCAAAGAAATGATAACTAATCAGAAGACACTCATCACATAAGGAAAATTGTCCAATTATTTTGCTGATTCTTTTTATTCTTTTCTTAATAATCTTTCAATATTATACTGATAATGTTGGTTTGATATTTCATAATAATTGGAATATAGATGCAGATTACAGCAGAAACGAGAGTTTCATCTTAGCATTTCTGGTTTTTAGTTTCCAGTGGCTTCCTTTTATCATTGATACCCATCCTTAGAAGTGGGTGTTTAGAGGTCTCAGCTGGAATTTCTCCTATCAGTGCCAATATGTGGGTCAGGAATCAGAGCTCACTAGATGATTTTATCTTATTGGGATTTTCTGATCGATCCTGGCTGGAAACACCACTCTTTGTAATCTTTCTGGTGGCTTACATCTTTGCCCTGTTTGGAAATATTTCTGTTATCCTAGTTTCTTGCCTGGATCCCCAGCTAGATAGTCCCATGTACTTTTTTGTCTCTAATCTATCCCTTCTGGATCTCTGCTTTACTACCAGTACTGTCCCACAGATGCTAGTCAACCTTCGGGGACCAGAAAAGACCATTAGCTATGGTGGTTGCGTTGCCCAGCTCTATATTTCCTTGGCCTTGGGTTCTACAGAATGCATACTTCTAGCCATCATGGCCTTTGACCGTTATGCTGCTATTTGCAAGCCTCTTCGTTACCCAGTCATCATGAACCAGAGACGCTGTATCTACATGGCTACTGGGACCTGGATTAGTGGCTTTGCTAACTCCCTTGTGCAGTCCACTCTCACTGTGTTGACCCCAAGATGTGGGCAGAGGGTGATGGACCATTTCTTCTGTGAAGTTCCTGCTCTTCTGAAACTAGCTTGTACAGATACCCATGTGAATGAGGCTGAGCTCAATGTGCTAGGGGCTTTGCTACTTCTGGTGCCCCTCTTCCTCATCCTGGGCACTTATGTGTTCATTGCCAGGGCAGTAATGAGAATCCGCTCTGCTGAAAGTCGCTGGAAGGCCTTTAATACCTGTGCTTCACATTTACTGGTGGTCTCTCTCTTTTACTTTACAGCCATCAGTATGTATGTCCAGCCTCCCTCTAGTTATTCTCGGGACAGAGGGAAGATCATGGCTCTCTTCTATGGAATCGTCACACCCACACTCAATCCATTTATCTATACACTGAGGAACAAGGATGTGAAAGCTGCCCTTAGAAGGGCACTAACTAAGGAATTTTGGGTCAGGACAAGATGATCTTTGAAGAGAAGACCTAAGAAGTAAGGATGAATGTGTCTGCTTTTCAAAGAAGATTTCAGACATGGAAGTGACGAGAGGACAGTGTATTAAGTTCACAGGTGAAACAGGACAAAAAAAGAAACCATCAACTCTTAATGATCTCCATAGAGCCCTTATCTACTTTTGAGACTATCTGTTTTTGCAACATTGGATCTTACCAAGTCATATCAATTTTTTCCCTAACCCTTATGACTAGTTAACTTAGTTTCAGGGGGAAAACCTGGTGTAATAGCTAGAGAAAAGATATTTAGAAAGTTTTAAAAGGTATATTTGACATAAACTGTTCCTAAGTGAATCCCAAGTAAATTGGAAATGATCCCATGTTTTAAAAAATGTCACTACTATCCTGAGTTAACTTTAATCAACATGTATTGAAAGCATTTAGTCATCTTCTAACAATCAATGTCCAATTATGTCATTCACCAAAAGCCCGAGAGGCAAGTGAAATCAAGAAACATTTAGGTCAAAAGCATATAAGATAGACATATGCAAAGGGAAATACATAAAAAATTTAGACTCAGTGATTTTAAATATGTTACTTTTGCCATAAACCTTAGCCAGTCTTATGGTATGATAAATAACAATGAGGCCAGGGCAAATACAAATAAAACTTACTGTGGAGGAAGAGAGAAAAAGCAGAAGAATGCTTTGAACAATGAACAGTGATGGAAAAACCTAAGGCTGAAAATATTCTAACTCAAGAAAACTTACTAGTAATTTATGAGTTACTAGTAGTTATGAGTTAGTAGTTTATGAGTTAGCAGTTTATGAGAGACAACTTCCTTTACCACTTGACTGGGTAAGGTAGGCCTAGTTCAATGTAGGAGTTATGAGAATATCATATTGAGTTTCAAGCCTTGGTTGACTTCTTAGCTTTACTTGAAAAAAGGTCTTATAGCCTCTGGTTATAAACTGCCTTACAAATACGAATTAGTTAAACATGCCTAAAGAAAAGCAACTGAGTTCAGTAAAAACTCAACATCATTGCCTGGAATGCAAATCAGATCTTTTTGTTCATTAATGAGTATATTTAGCCCCATAGATAGAGTGATAAACATACGTGTACCTTTTGGGGAAAACCAATTATTATCTTTGAGTGTAGTTTCTTTGCCACCAAATAGGGATATTAACACTTGCCTTAATTCAAAGGTGCTTGAAATTGCCTTTCTTAGCAAACTTTGAATTTAATATTTAATACTATAGCTCTGTGGCCCATAAAACAAATCTAAATAACAAGATTTTAATTCTAAATTCATAGAACTGTACATAATTCTTTTCCCATATGGGTCATTACAGAGCATTATTCTGAGGATCAGTAAAATTTCTGCCAATCTCTCTTTTGTAGTACACATCCCCAAATTTTCTTTATAAAATCATCCTTTCCAAAATACATTTAACCATTTTTACTTATTTTAGTCCTCTAGTTATTTCAAAGTAATGAATCACAGTCCCTTAATAAGGTAATCTCTAGGGTCTTGATAAACATGAATTTCTCAAAATCCATCAGTGTGTTTCCAGATTCCTTAATTTTGGAGAATAAATACACTGGATGGTATGAATTTTGGAATCTGAATTAAATTGGTGTATGACTAGGAACATTAACAATCTATGTGTTCAACACGGCCAAAAATCATGTAAAATTTTGAATTGCAAATGCTGAAGACAAGATGTAATTAAATATGCAAAAACTCTCCCTCCCAAAGATAAAATATTCTCATAAATCGAGATCACCTCATATAATGGAATATTTCATATGAATTTCTCTTTCTCCCCACATATCAGTAAGAATCTTGGCATTTTCCTACTCAGCATATTTGAATGTATTTAGAATTTGTTTTTCTGACAACAGATAACCCCAATCACAAGAGGTGTCCTCTCAGGTGGGTTCTATTTGAACACTTTATCAATGCATTGCCTTTCAATGTAAGTCGTTCCCAAGCCCATATAACATTCATATTTGTAATTTCTCAGATTACTGCAGATTTCTTTTTCATGCTTTGGACACGATAAATGTTCAGTAAATGCACCCAACATGATTGAATCTAGACCTGTTCCTTTTTCTCTTTTTTCCACTGCAACCCTCCCCCTCTCCTCCTAAAAAGAACAATGCAAAGATCTACTTCCTGTCAGTTAAGTTACAGTGAACACTTCCAATTTGTGTGGTCCAACTAGGAGACAGATGAAGCTAAAATATAAGGAAATGGATTTTAAAGAAATGAAGATTCCTAATTAGATTAGAGAAAGAAAATCTGTTCCCTCAATTCTAACGTAATCTGGAAAAGTATACTAAACTTAAAAAAAAATTTGATAACAGTGTTTGTCACAATTCATGATCCATTTTTACACAGGACTTCATGTCACTATATAATAAAATATATGCTAATATTTACATTAAAAATGTTTACAGTATTAATTTATTCATTTTTGATAAAGCAATGTATTTCTCAGAGCTTGTATGTTGTACTTCTCAGAGAGTATTCGAGGTTATTAAATAAGAATGCTAATCTTCTTGAGTTTATTAGTTTTGCTTGACAGTCTAGATAAAATTTAAATAAATGAACATTGAAACTACTATTTTGTATTAGAACAAACATAGATCTATTATGCTGTGGAAGTTGCATACATTTTTAAGCAAAAACATGGGACCACAAAAAAAATTAGCACTGCTGTTGGAGGTTGCTTCCAATATGCCCCCTCCCAAATCCTAAGGGTATGTTTTGATTTACCTTCAATATTACAGACATATCAGAACAAAAACTTGAGACTTAAAAAAATTCTGAATTTATAATATTTTTACATAAATGATACCTGATATTTTAGAATTTTATACATTAAAATACACAGTTAAATGAATTACAGTACAGGTACTGTCAAGCAGGCAAATAAATATAGTGCAATATTGAAAACACAATTAATGAAAAATTTAAATATTCTTAGAAGTATTACTAAAACATCAGTAAATTTATTAAATTTTATATTAATAAATTTTATAAATATCAGTAAGTCATTAAACTGAAAAATATTTTGTGATATAGAAAAAGCAGTAGGGAAGCATATTCAACAGGTAAAATAATTTATTTCAAAACAAAGTCTAGTGTCTATTTATTAGAGGAGCACTAGAAAATTCCCAACGATGTCAAAAACAAATCAAGGCTTAGATTATGTGGCACTACACAGATTCCTATTTCCTACCATGTGTGATATCCCATTTTAACATCTACTTTCTAATTCTTTTGGGACCACATAATTCAGGAAAATAAAATGTGAGTCTAAGTGATGAGTGTCTTTTCTGGATTAACAGTTTTTAAAAAAACACTTTTCCCTACTTCATCTATGCCATATTTTGAGATGACTGGATCCCAAGATAAATAAAATCTGGATCCCCCAATTATTGGAAAGAAGGAAGCACCAACTTCCCAAGTCAGATTTTATGTGCATAAGAAATACAGTGTTTTGTTTTAAATCACTGGGATTTGGAATTGATTTGTTATTGCAGCAAAACCTATGTTACCTTGACTAATATAAGTCATACACACAAAATTCCAAACGTAAGAAATTGTATTATTTAAATATAATTGTAAAAAAAATGCTTAAAACTGATACCTGCAGTAAATATTGCAGTTAGGTAAAGTATCCGTATTCCCATTATGATTCATGTAAAATTACTAGAAATATAAGCCACTTTTGTTCATGCTGCCCCTTACAACATTAGTCCTGTTTATAAACATAAGCCAGCACATGATTTTCTGAGTTAGAATGATAAAATTTAAAAACCCTAAATTTCTTTCTAAATCTACAGCTTGATTGGTGAGAGGGTTACATAGAGAACACAAACCAGCGAGCAGGTTTAAACTCATATTTCTTACATTAGTTGAACTTGTACAAAAAGATGGCACTACTAATATAAAGGTATCCAACTGAAACTTTATCACTCTTTTTACCACAAATACTTTGATTTTTCATAAAGTAAATTCTGGGGAAATTTTTCAGTTAATAACTACATTGGACCATAGCCTTAGGACCACTCGCTTATGGCAATAATTCTACATGAATCAATCTTACTGGTTACTTTAATTTTCTAGATTAAGGAGTAGCAGAAGAAAAAAGAAACCTGTTAAATGAGTTCTAGTGTTTTAATCCTCGGTATTTAGAAGGAAAAGTAGAGTGGGAATAGTTAGGTCTTTCTCCTCAATCACACAATAGGTTCTAAGTGAGTAAATCCTTGAAAGTAAAAGGTGAACGAGATTTCAGGTCTTAAATTCCTCACTCATCTATCTGTGACATGTTCTCAGACCATAATGAAATTAAACTAGAAATCAGCAACAGAAAGATAACAGGAAAATATTTAAGGCTTTGAAACTAAGTAATATTTCTCTAAGTAATCCATGGATCAAAGAGAAAATCAAAGGAAATATCAAATATGTGGTATGCAGTGCTTAAAGGGTAATACTTATTAGTAAATGCTCATTTTAAAAAAATAGTAAAGGCCTCAAATCAATAATCTAAACTTTTACCTTAAGTAAAAAATGAAAAAAGAGAAACAAAATGAACCCACATAAAGTAGAAACAAAAAAATACTAAAGAATAGAATTCTGATTTAACCCTCCCCACATTTCCCCTTTGGTAACCACAAATTTGCTTTTGATATCTGTATGTTTCTGTTTTGTAGATAAGTCCATTTATTACCTTTTTAAAATGAAGTTCTACATGTGAGTGATATCATATGATAATTTTCTTTCTCTGAGTTACTTCACTTAGTATAAAAATCTCTAGGTCCTTCATGTTTCTGCAAATAGCATTATTTTGCTTTTTTTTTTTTTTACATTAGGAGTAGATGTAAGATTAAACATTTTTAAAAATTTATCTTATTTTTTAAAAGGTAGATCTCATGTTTAATGTTCGTACCACAATTTTTTTTTAAATGCCTTTCTCATTATCATAGGTATTTGAAAAGAGAATACGTTCATTTTTGGATGTATTATCCATCTGTGGTAGCCTATTGTTAAACTGGTGAGTGAATTATCAGGTTCAGAGTTATTTTAGAAAAGATAGAGTGTTTGGATGAAGCCTAGACTCAGTCTTCTTTTAACTCTAACTCCTTCGATTCTGTAATTTTGTATGAGCTTACGTAACAATTACTAAACATTCTCTTTTTAAATGAGGTCCATACAAACACACATGACTTCATGGGTGACCAATAAAGTTAAAATTGATCATTCTTACTAGAGAAACCTAAGTCTGAATTTACAGAAAATAAATTATATATGTTGTATATTTTTCACTCCCTGGAATGCAGAATCTAAGATTCAGTTAAACCCAGATGATAATTAACTCCTTTTCACTGAAACAATCCTTGAGGGACAGGTCCATGAAGTCCCATGCTTGAATTCATAGTGTTTACTTGAAACATCAACCACACTGAACAAGCTTGTTCCCTAGTGCTTGGGAAACACTGACTTCATGGGCTGTCCATAGGCTCTTGGGTATCAACGGCTCAGTAGGAAGTTAAAATATCTCTGGGTCTATGCTCACTGTTTAATCTTATATGAAAACATCTCAGTCCTTTCCCTACATGAAAATTACAAAGATCGAGCCACCAGCTCAATTCTAGAATAAAGATGTTCAATTTTAGGATTAAAAGAGATTGGTTCCTACTGATGAAGATCAACTCTGGTGAGTGAAACTTCTCTATATTTTATAAAACATTGTATAGCTGTGCTCCAAAATTTATATATTTCCTTTCACATTTCGTTTGTTTTTTAAACCACATTTTTCATGCTTTTGGACCCATTAGTCCTCCCAAATACTTCTTGCATATCCACAAATGACCCTCACAATGGTAAATTCAATACTGTTATTGTTATTTTAAATTTCCTTTCTTAAATTAATGAATCTATTATACATGGGGGCTTCTCTGGTGGCTCAGTGGTAAGAAATCTGCCTGCAACGCAGGAGGTGCAGGAGATGTGGGTTCGATCCCTGGGTTGGGAAGATCCCCTGGAGAAGGACATGGCAACCAACTCCAGTATTCTTGCCTGGAGAACCCCTTAGATAGAAGAACTTGGTGAACTATGGTCCACAGGGTCACAAAGAGTCAGACACAACTGAAGCAACTTAGCACACGTTGTACATTATTTTTTTTTTCTTTTAAAGCATCTATCTTCCATTGGCTCTATAATGTCACTCCTTACAGGTTTTCTCCTTTTTCTGTAAATATTTTTTCTCAGTCTGACTCAATCCTCTTCTCTACATCTATTTAAATTTGATGGTATCTAAAAGTCTATCCTCAGACCTCTTTTCCATCCTTTTTTTAATTCAAAATAATTCTTGTAAGAGCACTCTTACTGAATTGGGGGTGTTTCAAGCACTGCCAAATCCTCATATCCAACTTTATGGTTGGCACACCTCAGACTGGGCTTCTCCCACCAGAACTCATTTCTTCTCCCAATCATCTGCCTGTCACTGTTATCTGTTTCAAAAAATAGGAAAATTTATCCTTCATCTGCACATTCATCAACCATCAAGACTTTATCTGCTTATCATCTCTCCAGAAGATTCTCATAACTTTTTTCAAACTATGTGAAGCTGTTGATCACATTTAGAAGTTCAATTTTTGAAAAAGGGCTAAAGATTTTTCTGAATTAAATATTACCACACTCCCACGAAGATAAATTTGTCTTGATTTTAGTAGCTCTTTGCTGAGTACACTTAGTTACTTGACTAATAGCTAGATCAATATCATACATTCTTTCCTACTGTTCTTTGGCTTCCTAAACAGAGTCATCCTTGCTATCTTCAGAGTGACCATGGCCAACCTGACCTCAGTGAGTGGATTCCTCCTCATGGGGTTTTCTGCTGACCGTAAGCTTCAGATTTTACATGCACTGCTGTTTTTGGTGACATACCTGCTGGCCTTGACAGGCAACCTCCTCATTATCACCATAACCACCTTGGACCATCGCCTCCATTCCCCCATGTATTACTTCTTGAAGCACCTCTCTCTTCTGGACCTCTGTTTCATCTCTGTCACTGTCCCCCAGTCCATCGCAAATTCACTTATGAACAATGGCTACATTTCCCTTGGTCAGTGCATTCTTCAAGTTTTCTTCTTCATAGCTCTGGCCTCGTCAGAAGTGGCCATCCTTACAGTGATGTCTTATGACCGGTATGTAGCCATCTGTCAACCACTGCAATATGAGACCATTATGGACCCCTGTGTCTGTAGGCATGCAGTGATAGCTGTGTGGGCTGCTGGGGGCCTCTCTGGGCTCATGCATGCCGCTGTTAACTTCTCCATACCGCTCTGTGGGGAGAGAGTCATTCACCAATTCTTCTGTGATGTTCCTCAGGTGCTGAAACTAGCCTGCTCTTATGAATTCATTAATGAGATCGCAGTGGCTGCATTCACAACCTCAACAGCATTTATCTGTTTGATCTCTATTGTGCTTTCCTACATTCGCATCTTCTCTGCGGTGCTGAGAATTCCATCAGCTGAGGGAAGAACCAAAGTCTTCTCTACCTGCCTACCCCACCTATTTGTAGTCACCTTCTTCCTCTCAGCTGCAGGCTTTGAGTTTCTAAGGCCCCCTTCTGAGTCCCAGTCAGCTATGGATCTCATGTTCTCCATCTTCTATACTGTGATACCTCCAACGCTCAATCCAGTTATCTATAGCTTACGGAATGAAGCCATGAAGGCAGCTCTGAGGAAGATACTGTCAAAAGAAGAATTCCCTTAGAGAAAGATGTATTTAAAAGCCATTTTTAAACTCTAAAGTACCATACAAATAAAAGGTACTGTTATTATGTTTCAGATTGTAGGAGGAATAAATCTGATTTCTTTCCGGAACTCCCTTCTAACTTTTCTGTTCTTTATAGTCTTCTCGGAGAAGGCAATGGCAACCCACTCCAGTACTCTTGCCTGGAAAAATCCCATGGACAAAGGAGCCTGGTAGCCTGCAGTCCATTGGGTCTCTAAGAGTCGGACACGACTGAGCGACTTTACTTCCACTTTTCACTTTCACATATTGGAGAAGGAAATGGCAACCCATTCCAGTGTTCTTGCCTGGAGAATCCCAGGGACAGGGGAGCCTGGTGGGCTGCCGTCTATGGGGTCGCAAAGAGTCAGACACGACTGAAGCGACTTTGTAGCAGCAGCAGCAAAACATAATTCTTCAGAATTTAAGATGTTATGGTTCTAGGGATATTGGTCTTCTTTCCACAAATTCAATTTTTATTTTTAGGCATCTTACAGGATTTTTTCTAAACTAAAAGAGAGAAGGCAATTAGTTTGGGGCTTGGTGAGCACAATTTAAAGCTGGCTTTTATAGATATATGGGTATAGCTGAGTCCCTTCGTTATTCACCTGAAACTATCACAACATTGTTTGTTAATGAGCTATACCCTGGTAAAAAATAAAAAGGCTTGACAAAAATAAAGTTGGCGTTTAACAAATAGATTCCAGACTGCTGCCAAATAACTTGATTGTGTTCATGAGATAGTATATCTATGGTGTATTATGTGATTTCCAATATACCTCCAGGTTTCTTATGTGCATTAAGTACCCATATTAATTTTCCCTTCTCTTTATGTATTATAATAGCTTTCCCCATACCTATTTATTCAGTCTCTAATAAACGTCAGGTACAGTATATACATTTTTCTTTTAATTTTATTAAGCAACAGTTCTACCTATGCCCCATTCCTTCAATTAGGACACTAAATTTAGAAGAGATTAATTTCTTGAGACTTCTCAAAGAATAGTAAATATGTGATTCAGAGTAATATTTGTCTGATTCCAAGCTCACTTATTTGCCTCTACTCATTGCAAATGATTTGTTTCTCCGTATGTGTGCACGCTAAGTTGTTTCAGTTGTGTTCAACCCTTTGCGACCCCATGTGAGTATATGTGTTTTTGTATCATCTGTAAAAATAAGCATATTCTACACTAATGAGATAGCCTTCAGCAGAATGCTGTGTAGCCTTTAAAACAGTAAATCTATGTCCTTACAGCTTCAGAAGAAGCCTTTGTAATATAATTGAATAAACTTATAGTCATATGATTATTACTGGAAAATATTAATAATGTATATAAAAGTTGGTAAGAGAATTCAGAAATTACAAAACAACATCATGGACTTACATTTATTTTTAAGTACACTTACATTTATTTTTAAGTAGACTTATAAAGCAGTTGCATATATTTAAATAATAAATTTTAATGAACTGAGCCTCTTTATAAGATTTTCAGGTACTGTTGCTAAATTTGTTTTAGGATCTTTTAGTAGTTTTATGTTTATTAGAGACCACAGTGGTTGCCTGAAATAGCTGTTCCAAATCTGAGATGCAATGCATAGGCCTCAATTTCTATAAACAATGATTTCTTGTTTCCCGGGACACCTGACATTAAAAATTTATTTTAATGTTTAAAATCATGTTTGCCTTTCTGGAATGCATGATTTAGCTATTACAGCGGTTCTCCAACTGTGGCATTCAGTCCAGCAGCAGTAGCATCAGGCAGTTTGTTGGGCATTCAAATGTATGGAGGTACCATTAAACCTTCTGAATCAGAATTACTAAGTGTGAGGTTTAGGTATCTGTTTTATCAAGCTCTCCAGGTGAGCCATACCTCTGCTAAAGTTTGCAAACTGTTGAACTAGGAACAAAATCCCCACAGTTTACCAAGTCACTCCCCCTCTGTGTGAAAAGTTCCAAGTCCCAGGTGACAGAGAAGGAGAGAAAATGAAATAGTCTCATCATTCGGTTCAGGCTTCCATTACAAAAGATGGGGGGAAAAAATCCCAAAAGCAACAGAAACCTTGGGTTCTCAAGGGAAACAACATGTTTTAAAAGATGTCATTACAGATGAGAAAGGTCAACATTTTGTGATCAACTTTCATAACTACCCACACACCAAGAGTAGATGTGGTAAGTTTTACAATCTTGAATGAGGAAAGAGAAAAATGTTTTATGGAAATTGACAGAATGTATATTCTTCAAATTGAATTTGAAAAAACAAGACTATTCATTCTAACAAGGAAAATGAGCTGTTAATAAAGGTCATAGATTTAATTCACATGCATATATTACAAAATGAGCAATTTAAGAAGAGTCAGTAAATTAAGAAAGGTTAATATTTTATATGTTTAACATTCAGTAAAATAATTGCACTATAACATGTATAGTACTTATACTGTACTATAACAGTAGAGTAACTGTACTATAGTGATATCATAGTCTGATATCATCATGAAAGACAAAGCCTTGAATAGATAAATGTTCAGTGTAATTTTGGCTTTTTTCCCCAATGTTTCTGCATGTCTTCCATAAATACTCAGAGATTTTAGATGTAAGACAGTGGTATGAATTTCAAAGGAAAAGCCTTGGTGCTTAGATTCGATTCTGTCACTTAAGTATTCTGAATCTTATTTTTTTTCTTTTAAAAATAGAGATTAAAATGCTTAAGCCACGGAAGATAAAAAAAACTTGAGGCATATTTTATGACAAACTCTAGCATGGTGTCTGTCTCATGAAAATGAATGCTCAAAATTTTTCAGTTTATTTCCCAGACAGTTGATAATCACTGATGGAAATTTGGCAGACTAAAATACTTAATGTACCAATATCAAAATTAAGTATGGATAATAATGTCATTTATTATTTTATCAGTTCAAGGAAAAGAGGGACAAAAAAATAGGCAACAACTGCCTTTCCAAGGCAAAAAATGAAGAAACTGTTGAAAGCGTAGCCTTTACTCTTTAATTCTTTCTGTTTTCTATTAGCTGTGTGAGGCTTTAATAAAAATGGAGTAAGAGGGTGATATTCTAGATTAACTTTGCAATTCACATGCATAGAGAAAGAGAAAGACTTTTAATTTGGCAGCCAAAACAAAAGTTTAAAAATTTAAATTTAATGTAATATAAAATTGTAAATCTAATACTACTGACCCCTGCTGGTAGAAGGGGGGGTTGAGTCCAAATGTTGAGTTCATTCTTCATGAAGGAGGTTGATTTCCAAGAACCTGAATTAATGGGACACACACACACACACAAATTTCTGGTGAGATTTCACATTTGTTGTTCAGTCGCTAATCATATCTAAGAGAATCTTATTTAGATCAGCATCCCACCCCCATTTCTCACCAGTCTGAGAGGCTTTTGTTAGTTCAATAGCCTCTCTCATTTACTTTTTTTTTCTCTTCTCTAATGTCAAACTTTCCTGTTCATAATTCAGATTTATTCTGTCTCCCTCATGTCTCCTCTGACACCTCTTTTCCTCCTGCCCTCAATCTTGCACATGGTTCAGAATAAAACTCAAAGAGATTGTTTCATTCAGCAGTTTTGGTTTTTTTTCCCCCAGCTGCTGCCTATAACTCACAGGAAGAGGAAAAAATTAAGGAATATGAGAGGCTCATGACTAAGTGACTGGTCAGTTCTCATATACTGAGGTATATTTTAATGAAGGGAAAACTTTTGTTTATCTCCATCCTGCAAAGCCCAAAACACTATACAATGGCCTAAAACTTGATGTATTTCTTTTCTGAATTGTAGATCACTTTATACCTTTTCAGAGTGTCTTTCTGAAGTTGAATATTGGGTTTTTGAAAGCTTTCCTTCCACATTGAAAGTCACCTCAGAGCAATCATTCTTTCTTCCTCTTCTTTGCAAATGCCTTTGCATGTAGTAAATAGTCAATACATACTTAATGACTTTAGCTAAAGACAATGTGAAGAGAAATGAAATGAAATGAAATTTCAAAGAAAAAACTGTTAGGTACCAGAAGAAACCCTAGACAGATTAAACACTAAATCTGACAGTGAAATGTTAAGTAATTCCTTTGCAAAATTTTTTTTTCTTGATTTCAAGATGTGTTTATTAAATAAAATGTTAGCTGGAAAGGCAGTAACACTGCATAATTTGGTTGTTGGCCTCACAATTATAGGAAATTTCTCTTTATTAGAATGGCTTGCCAGGGAAGAACCTTAGATAACATCCCATCCAACCACAATTCCTCTAAAGGGCCCTTCAGTGTACTAAAATAGAACAATATAATCTATCCAATTTTGTGAAACCCCTAATTAAGAACTGATCACTGAATTTCTGTTCTTGACTGAAAGCAAAGCAGCAAGTTTCACTCTGTGGAAATGGAATAGTGTCTTTAGTGGCGGAAATACAACCATTTTTCTGTGATAGGACCAGTGACTCTGATCACATCTGCACTCAGGTTTACTTTTGTTTTCTGTAAGCTCCCTGAACACAAGATATACACATCTTCAACTTTGAGTTCCCAACATCTAGGGCACGGCTGATGAATGACAGGTACTCAAAAGTTGATTGTTGAAAGAAGCATTGATGAATAAATGAACATTTTAACATCTCTCTACTGCATTTCCTCCATCTTCTCTATCTTCCAGCTGCCAGCACAATTTGTACCTTCAAAATGGTTATGGCAAATGTAACCACAATGAGCGGATTCCTCCTCATGGTGTTTTCCAACAACCGTGAGCTGCAGATCTTACACGCATTGCTTTTCTTGTTAATATACTTATTAACCTTAACAGAAAATCTCCTGATTATCACCATCACAACTCTGGACCAACATCTCCAGTCCCCAATGTATTACTTCTTGAAACACCTTTCGCTACTGGACCTCTCCTTCATTTCTGTCACGGTCCCCCAGTCCATTGAAAATTTACTGACAGGCAATGGCTATATTGCCCACAGTCAGTGCATACTTCAGGTTTTCTTCTTCACATCTTTGGCCTGGGTTGAGGTGGCCATTCTCACAGTGATGTCTTATGATCGCTATGCCGCCATTTGCCTCCCACTGCACTACGAAGTCATTATGGATCCCAGAGCCTGTAAGCGGGTCGTGATAGTTGTATGGCTGAGTGGCGGCATCTCTGGAATCTTGTATACGGCTGCCACATTCTCCATCACATTCTGTAGGGCCAAAATAATCCACCAGTTCTTCTGTGATATCCCCCAGTTGCTGAAGCTCTCTTGCTCCAATGATTACCTAGGCGTGATTGGAGTGGCTGCTTTCATGACTGTGCTTTCGTTCATCTGCTTCGTCTCCATTGTTCTCTCCTATGTGCACATCTTTTCCACAGTTCTAAGAATACCCTCTGCTGAGGGCCGCTCCAAGGCCTTCTCTACCTGCCTGCCCCACCTCTTTGTTCTGTCATTTTTTCTTTCCACAGGCATTTTTGAGTTCCTAAGACCAACGTCAGATTCTCCAACTGCTTCTGACATTATCATATCTATCTTTTATACAGTAGTGCCCCCAACATTGAACCCTATGATCTATAGCTTGAGGAATGAAGCCATGAAGGGAGCTTTAAGAAAGTTACTGTTGGGTGGTGAATTCACCAGGAAAAGAACATTTTTGTCCTGTTGTTGATGGCTGTCCAATATTACACATAAGGAGCATATTTAATAACTGGAATCCATTATATATAAATGGTAAACACTGCCAAAGAGTCAGACATGACTGAGCAACTGAGCATGCATGTAATGTGTATATAGTAGTGTTGGGGAAAAACAAAAACTTTTTTTCCTGTTGATGAACCAAATACTATAACCATAATCATAATGGAAATGCTTCATTTGACATCTTCACTTTTTTAGACACTTTCTAGTCTTGGTAAATTCAAAAAGATTGAAATCATTCCAGTCATCTTTTCTGACCACAGTGCAGTAAGATTAGATCTTAATTACAGGAAAAAAATTATTAAAAATTCAAACATATGGAGACTAAACAACACGCTTCTGAATAACCAACAAATCATAGAAGAAATCAAAAAAGAAATCAAAATATGCATAGAAATGAATGAAAATGAAAACACAACAACCCAAAACCTATGGGACACTGTAAAGGCAGTGCTAAGGGGAAGATTCATAGCATTACAGGCCTACCTCAAGAAACAAGAAAAAAGTCAAATAAATAAGTCAAATAAAAAAAGTCAAATAACCTAACTCTACACCTAAAGCAACTAGAGGAGGAAGAAATGAAGAACCCCAGGGTTAGTAGAAGGAAAGAAATCTTAAAAATTAGGGCAGAAATAAATGCAAAAGAAACTAAAGAGATCATAGCAAAAATTAACAAAGCTAAAAGCTGGTTTTTTGAAAAAATAAACAAAATTGACAAACCATTAGCAAGACTCATTAAGAAACAAAGGGAGAAGAACCAAATTAACAAAATTAGAAACGAAAATGGAGAGATCACAACAGACAACACCGAAATACAAAGGATCATAAGAGACTACTACCAGCAGCTCTATGCCAATAAAATGGACAACTTGGAAGAAATGGACAAGTTCTTAGAGAAGTATAACTTTCCAAAACTGAACCAGGAAGAAATAGAAGATCTTAACAAACCCATCACAAGCAAGGAAATCGAAACTGTAATCAGAAATCTTCCAGCAAACAAAAGCCCAGGACCAGATGGCTTCACAGCTGAATTCTACCAAAAATTTAGAGAAGAGCTAACACCTATCTTACTCAAACTCTTCCAGAAAATTGCAGAAGAAGGTAAACTTCCAAACTCATTCTATGAGGCCACCATCACCCTAATTCCAAAACCAGACAAAGATGCCACAAAAAAAGAAAACTATAGGCCAATATCACTGATGAACATAGATGCAAAAATCCTTAACAAAATTCTAGCAAACAGAATCCAACAACATATTAAAAAAATCATACACCATGGCCAAGTGGGCTTTATCCCAGGAATGCAAGGATTCTTTAATATCCGCAAATCAATCAATGTAATACACCACATTAACAAATTGAAAGATAAAAACCATATGATTATCTCAATAGATGCAGAAAAAGCCTTTGACAAAATTCAACATCCATTTATGATTAAAACTCTCCAGAAAGCAGGCATAGAAGGAACATACCTCAACATAATGAAAACTATATATGACAAACCCACAGCAAGCATCACCCTCAATGGTGAAAAATTGAAAGCATTTCCCCTGAAATCAGGAACAAGACAAGGGTGCCCACTCTCACCACTCCTATTCAACATAGTTTTGGAAGTTTTGGCCACAGCAATCAGAGCAGAAAAAGAAATAAAAGGAATCCAGATAGGAAAAGAAGAAGTGAAACTCTCGCTGTTTGCAGTTGACATGATCCTCTATATAGAAAATCCTAAAGACTCTACCAGAAAATTACTAGAGCTAATCAACGAATACAGTAAAGTTGCAGGATATAAAATTAACACACAGAAATCTCTTGCATTCCTATACACTAACAATGAGAAAACAGAAAGACAAATTAAGGAAACAATACCATTCACCATTTCAACAAAAAGAATAAAATACTTAGGAGTATATCTACCTAAAGAAACAAAAGACCTATACATAGAAAACTATAAAACACTGATGAAAGAAATCAAAGAGGACACAAACAGATGGAGAAATATACCGTGTTCATGGATTGGAAGAATCAATATTGTCAAAATGGCTATACTACCCAAAGCAATCTACAGATTCAATGCAATCCCTATCAAACTACCAACGGTATTTTTCACAGAACTAGAACGAATAATTTCACAATTTGTATGGAAATACAAAAAACCTTGAATAGCCAAAGTAATCCTGAGGAAGAAGAATGGAACTGGAGGAATCAATCTGCCTGACTTCAGACTATACTACAAAGCCACAGTCATCAAGACAGTATGGTACTGGCACAAAGACAGAAATATAGATCAATGGAACAGAATAGAAAGCCCAGAGATAAATCCACGAACCTATGGTCACCTTATATTTGACAAAGGAGGCAAGGATATACAATGGAAAAAAGACAACCTCTTTAACAAGTGGTGCTGGGAAAACTGGTCAACCACTTGTAAAAGAATGAAACTAGAACACTTTCTAACACCATACACAAAAATAAACTCAAAATGGATTAAAGATCTAAATGTAAGACCAGAAACTATAAAACTCCTAGAGGAGAACATAGGCAAAACACTCTCCGACATAAATCACAGCAGGATCCTCTATGACCCACCTCCCAGAATATTGGAAATAAAAGCAAAAATAAACAAATGGGACCTAATGAAACTTAAAAGCTTTTGCACAACAAAGGAAACTATAAGCAAGGTGAAAAGACAGCCCTCAGATTGGGAGAAAATAATAGCAAACGAAGCAACAGATGAAGGATTAATCTCAAAAATATACAAGCAACTCCTCCAGCTCAACTCCAGAAAAATAAATGACCCAATCAAAAAATGGGCCAAAGAACTAAACAGACATTTCTCCAAGGAAGACATACAGATGGCAAAAAAACACATGAAAAGATGCTCAACATCACTCATTATCAGAGAAATGCAAATCAAAACCACAATGAGGTACCATTACACGCCAGTCAGGATGGCTGCTATCCAAAAGTCTACAAGCAATAAATGCTGGAGAGGGTGTGGAGAAAAGGGAACCCTCTTACATTGTTGGTGGGAATGCAAATTAGTACAGCCACTATGGAAAACAGTGTGGAGATTTCTTAAAAAGCTGGAAATAGAACTGCCATATGACCCAGCAATCCCACTTCTGGGCATACACACCGAGGAAACCAGATCTGAAAGAGACATGTGCACCCCAATGTTCATCGCAGCACTGTTTATAATAGCCAGGACATGGAAGCAACCTAGATGCCCATCAGCAGACGAATGGATGAGGAAGCTGTGGTACATATACACCATGGAATATTACTCGGCCATTAAAAAGAATTCATTTGAATCAGTTCTAATGAGATGGATGAAACTGGAGCCCATTATACAGAGTGAAGTAAGCCAGAAAGATCAAGACCATTACAGTATACTAACACATATATATGGAATTTAGAAAGATGGTAACGATAACCCTATATGCAAAACAGAAAAAGAGACTCAGATGTATAGAACAGACTTGTGGACTCTGGGAGAAGGCGAGGGTGGGATGTTTCAAGAGAACAGCATCGAAACACGTATATTATCTAGGGTGAAACAGATCACCAGCCCAGGTTGGGTGCATGAGACCAGTGCTCGGGCCTGGTGCACTGGGAAGACCCAGAGGGATCGGGTGGAGAGGGAGGTGGGAGGGGGGGACCGGGATGGGGAATACATGTAAATCCATGGCTAATTCATTTCAAGGTATGACAAAAACCACTGCAATGATGTAAAGTAATTAGCCTCCAACTAATAAAAATAAATGAAAAAAACTAAAAATAAAAAAAATTAAAAAAAAAACTAAATCTAAGAAGTATAACTGTAAAGTAATTAGCCTCCAATGAATAAAAATAAAAGGAAAAAAAATAAGAAGTAAAAAAAAAAAAGACTTTTTGTTATTCTTTCAAATTAAGAGAAAATAAACAATTATATATAATATTATAATGTAGGTCCATTACTTTCCTTTTCCTCCCAATACATATAGACATGCAGACACAAACATATACCAGGTCATACCATACCAACAAACATAGCATTTTTGGAAAAACAGCATAGGCAAAATTACAGCAATAATAGTAATAAACAGTGACAATTTATCCACAATTCCACTCATCAATTGTTTAATTCCAAATATTCATTTAAATTTTTGTCTTAAAGGATTAATCTCAAAAATATACAAGCAACTCCTCCAGCTCAACTCCAGAAAAATAAATGACCCAATCAAAAAATGGGCCAAAGAACTAAACAGACATTTCTCCAAAGAGGACATACAGATGGCTAACAAACACATGAAAAGATGCTCAACATCACTCATTATCAGAGAAATGCAAATCAAAACCACAATGAGGTACCATTACACGCCAGTCAGGATGGCTGCTATCCAAAAGTCTACAAGCAATAAATGCTGGAGGGGGTTTGGAGAAAAGGGAA